GGGCGGGCGCTGCGGCGGCTGGGGCGCTTTTCGGCGGCGGAGCGCGCGTACCGGCGTGTGCTGCGGCGGCCGCGGGGGACGCGGCAGGACGTGTCGGAGGGGGTGCTTGGGGCGGCGGTGATGATGTTGCGGCAGGGGAAGATTTCGAAGCAACGGCGGCTATTGGAGGTATGGATTGCAATGAGCCCCCAGGATCCAAAAGCAGCGCATCACCTTTTGCTGCCCCTCGACGGTCCAGAAATGTCTGCCATGCTAGCCATGCTGGATGTTCTTTTGAGTGACTTCCAGTTGATGGAGTTGTGATATGTTGTGATTGGGACCTTTTTCGAGGCTGGCCATGGCGCTGTGGCTGCGTCCTTCAAACGGCTCAAGGAAGCGGGTGGAGCAACTACTAGGCTCGCAGATGACGCGACGACTCCAGCGACGACCATTTTTTTGGGGTGGTTGGTGCTCCCAAGCCGTTGCACGAACGGCCGGGGAGGCCGTGCCGCCCGAGTGGCCAACCCGACGCTGCAGCCGTTGCTGGCAGAGTTGCTGGGCGAGGACGGGGGGGACGAGACCGGCGCGGACACCGCGGGGGAACGGGAGAAACGGGTGAAATGGCCGAAGAAGCGGTGGAGGTGCACAAAGGGGGTGGATGAGCATAGCAGCATTTTTCGTTTTGTGGGGATGCCAGGTTGAAAGGGTAACCGGTCATGAGGATCATGAGGGGATGGACCGCTATTGGGTGGAGGCCCATCGCCATTAGGTGGAGGCGATCGCTGTTAGGTCAGTCGGTGAAACCCCATTCAAGCATTCTATTAGAACCTAACTCCAAACTTTACAGTCCGGTGAGTGAACATGCGCAGACTGCGCAGAGAAGTTTCTTAATCAGTGTTCTTCAGTCACTGACACCGGCCTGTACCGGGTGGAACCCCCACGAAACCATGAGCATCCTCGCGCATGTTCATGATCCTGAGTGTTGCCTATCCAGTGCAACAGAACCTACTGAGGGGAACTCCCCCATTCACTGCTGGCATTCTTAGTTTCAGAACGATACCATATTGTTGTTGTCAGAGTCGGGGTGGTGGTCAAGACAAGAAGCGGGGATTTGCAAATGGAGGGCCCCTGCTGTGCGATTCATTTGGTGATTGGTTGGGTGCCCCATCCCACTGGGAAGGTTCCTCCGCTGCATGCGCCGAATGAGCTGTTGGCGCTGGCTGCGGCCAATCGGTTTTTGGACGCGCCCCAGTGGCAGCTGCTGGAAGACAAGTGCAGTTTGCATGGCTTGTTGCAGGTCTGGGATGGTGAGGTGAGTCGCACCCCAAATGGCAACAATAAGGCACCACAGTGACAGGGCCATGGGATTTTTTTAATTTTCAACTCTTTCTTGGGACGATGGGGCGATGAGACGGGAACACTCTTCCATGCATCGAACGATGGTGGCGGATCCATGCATGATCCAAGTGTGAGCATCTTCCTGATGTGTTGTCACCCTGGTCCATTTGCGGCATAGAACGATGGATCCTGAGGCCTGGTCGAAAAAACGCCGCTGTGATTTCAGAGTTTGTGGCGACCCTCGAGAGGGCTGGGACCCACATGTCATAGCATCACCCTGCGACATGCGGCAGCCAGACTCTGAAGAGTTGGTTGGACAGGAAGCCCGGTTCTCTACAAATTTGGGGACCCCGGACCCCCGTATTTTTGGTTGTAGTTTTTCCAGATCACCCCAACTCACTTCTGTCATCTCCAAGCGCAGGCCTCGGACCCTCAACGCCTGCGCTTCTACTGGCCTGAGAGCTACCTGTGGTCGATCGACCACCCGATTCCCCCAGCTGCCGGTGGTCAAAGGCGGAGTTCGGACCTGACCAAGGAGGGAAAGACCGAAATCCAATTGACAGGTCGACGATCCTCGGGATTTGGACCACAGCATCTACGATGCTTTAGGGCTTTAGGGTCACTTTAGGGCCTGTTAGGGGCTCGCAACATGTTGCAACCAGCAACTCCAGGGTTGATGAGCAAGTCTGCGCTACCTGTTCTGCACTTCTAATTGATGTCCAGAGCTTTGTTCTAGTTGCGGCATCTTTGGTTCAAGCCCCTGCAGCCATGAAACATGTCTAGTGAGTCTAGTGTCTCATGGAGAAGGCTACGGCAAGCAGCATACATACATACATACATACATACATACATACATACATACATACAT